TGCCACCATGCTCGGCTAATTTTTTCCATATATATATTTTTAGTTGTCCAGATAATTTCTTTCTACTTTTTAGTAGAGACGTGGTCTCGCTCTTGCTCAGGCTGGTCTCGAACTCCTGACCTTGAGCGATCCACCCGCCTTGGCTTCCCAGAGTGCTAGGATTATAGGCGTGAGCCACAGCGTCTGGCCTACTGTGGTTATTTTTGAGGGGAAGGAGAGAATACCAAAGGCCTCTCATATTCTAATTTGTATACTTTTGTATGGTTTAAAATTTTATATCAACTTGTATTGATCTCATAGTCAAATAAAACAGTAAAGACATTTACATTCTAAAAAACAAAACAATATATATGTTTGGAGTAGGCAGTATGATATTGGCCTTTGTGTGGTACTCCTTTGTGGAGTGTCTTTATAGTATTTGCTGAAGTGTATCTTGAGCGTCTCCAATCTATTTTATGTAGTTTGGCACATTTTCCCTGTGTAGTGAGAAGATTGCTCACGTCTGGCATCGTGATTCAGGTGTTTCCACTGCATGACAATGAAGCCCTGAAGAAGCTTGAGGACACCTGGTACACTCGGCTTACTTTAAAGTATCAGCCTATAGGTATGTGTCAATACCTGTTGTCTTATAGAAGAGGAAGACCTTTAATGAAAAGTTATGATCCAGCAGTGGAGTCATCTCTCCTGGGCAAATATTTAGTGCTCTGCTACACAGTTCTGATCAGGTGCATGTGAGAAAACATTTTTTGGGGGGAATAAGATGGGTTAGATGACCTATTCATTCTTTTTTTTTTTTTTAACTTTCTAATACTATTCTAGATTGACTGAAACACAGGCTTTCACTAAATTTCACCAACAACACAGGCAGTTCAGAGTGGCCTTCGTGAATATGTATCAGAGTTGGAATAAAAAATTTTATAAGAGTTTAGTTTGCTTGTGAATATTTTGTACTTGAAAATTTCTCTGTCTGAAGAACTAATTATTTAGAGTGGGCCAAGTTGTGCTTATCTTTAGGGCAGACTAGCAGCCTCAAACATTTTTTGAGGTAATTTATACTTATTTTGGCATGTATTAGTGGATCTATCCATTTTCTCTGAATATAGTTATAAGAATAATTACTAATTTATTTGGTATGTGGCAAACATTAAAGTTATGTCAATATGGATGTTCAAAATTTTTTGGTTTGGTTATGTTTTTAAAGTATAAGAATTACATTTAAGCTGATAGATTTTACCTTAAGCAGCATTAGTATCATGTTTTTCTTTAAAGAATGTTTTAATTTTGATTTTGTTTAAGGGAATCCCTCTAAAATAATTTTCTTTCTAATTTCCATTCTGAAAACAACTTATAATGTTATAACAATAAACAAAAATTGTTTTTAAGATCACACTCTGAAATTGTATTTTGAGTTTTTTCTTGTATTGTCTAAAAGGAAAAGTTAGCTTTTGATACTCCCAGGTCATACAATAAGTCACTTATGTTCCACTTATAACACTTTTTCACTTTGTTTGGCATTTAAGTGGCAGTAGATTTGAATTGCCTCTAGAACTTGTAAAGTGACAGTATCTCTTAGCTCCTTCTTAGTAAGGGGAGAAAGTGAGTTGATGGTGAAGGTGGGCATGGGTGGTGTGGGTGCTGTGGAGGGTGCTGGGACTGCTGGTAGTAATAACTGGGGCCCAGGCAAATCTTGAGCTTCCCCAAGATCAAAAGGGGGAGGTCATCTGCTTTGAGCCCAGCACCATGAATACCTTTTTTTTTATTGATAGGATATTCTTTGACCTGATTTAGATTTGAGGTGACTGCATCATACCAACTGTTTTCATTTGCTCTTGGGTTAGCTAGATTTAAGGATAGGAGATAATAGCTTATTCTACTTCACTCTAACCCACCTTCATAGACTGATATGATCACATTGTCTTAAAAAGAAATACATACATATGTATATATATATATATCTTTTAACTGCATGTAATTATTTCTTAAATAATGCCAGCTGGCACACTTCTGCCCACCCCCACATCCCACCCTGGTCTCAGTGCAGGGTGGTCTTATGATCCAGGCATTCCCCACGTGGATGAGGCTGGCAAAGAATGCAGTGTTTGTGACCTTTCTTGGGTTGGTTAGTTTGTGTTGAGTTCACAGAATATTAGCAGTAATGTTGCTTGGACCTTCTTCTGCCCAATGCTTATATGAACATATAGATAGATGGGTTCCTTGGCTATTCTAGAAGTTAATGTGTAGAATCCTATTTTGTGTTTCTGAATAATCTTTCTTCAGTGTATTGAAAAATTTGCCGTGACACATTGATGAAAGTTTATATCTTTGGGTAGGGAGAGCAGGATACTATGGATGGGGAGTCTTATTTGTAAAGAACATTTATAACTATAACACTAAAGTGGGAGAAAAGTGGGGAACATAAACCCCCAAATTAAAATGGTTCAATGGCCATGGCTGAACATAAATCAGAACCTTGGAGATTCTGGGCAAGCACCAAGATGAGTTCTTCTTTGGGAAGAAGGTATCCAGGTGAGAAAGTAAAAGGGAAACAGAGTCAGGGTACCTGGCAGAGCAGTCCCAGCAGCCAAGGCCTGGGCCCTAAGCTTTGGGAAATGTGGGCTTGCCATAATGACAAGCGCAGTCTTTGTACTGCATGGAAGATGGATTCACCACCGCACACTGATTGGGAAATGGGGGTATTAAATGATCCTCACTTAATTAAAAAATGAATGAGCTTACTTGAAATGATTTTAAGAAGTCTTTGGTAGTCTGTACTTAAGTTTTTTCTTTCTTTCTGCTATAGACAATATTCGTGGCTACTTCGGGGAAACCATTGCTCTTTACTTTGGATTTTTGGAATATTTCACTTTTGCCTTAATCCCCATGGCTGTCATTGGGTTACCTTACTACTTGTTTGTGTGGGAAGATTATGACAAGTATGTGATCTTCGCCTCATTCAACCTGATCTGGTCCACGGTGATCCTGGAAGTGTGGAAGCGTGGCTGTGCCAACATGACCTACCGCTGGGGGACGCTGGTCATGAAGAGACAGTTTGAGGAGCCACGGCCGGGATTTCATGGCGTCCTGGGTGTCAATTCCATCACTGGCAGGGAGGAACCTCTCTACCCCAGCTACAAGAGACAGTTGCGCATTTACCTGGTCTCTCTGCCGTTTGTGTGCCTCTGTCTCTATTTCTCTCTTTATGTCATGATGATTTACTTCGACATGGAGATCTGGGCCTTGGGTCTACATGAGAATAGCGGGTCTGAGTGGACCAGTATCTTGTTGTATGTGCCCAGCATCATCTATGCCATTGTGATTGAGATCATGAACCGCCTCTATCGATATGCTGCTGAGTTTTTAACTTCATGGGGTAAGACTTGATGCTTTGTATTCATGTCTTATTTGCCTGTAAGAGATAGTGCTTAGATTGCAGTATCCATATAGCTCCTCCCTTGCAGAGAAGATAGATACTGCTGCGGGCTCATTGTGGAGACATAAGGAAAAGTTCATCAGCTTTGTGAACACTGATCTCCATATCATGGTTATCACAGCTCTCATTTATCAGTGTTAATTACTATATTCTGGGTGCCTTTCTAAGCACTTTATCAACAATAGCTCATTTTCACCTCAGGGCACCATGAAATAGAAGTTATTTCACCATTTTATGGGTAAAGATACTGACACTTAACAGGGTTCAGATAGCAAAAGTAGTGCCAGGCTAATTCAAAACCAATCTGTCTAAAACCTGTGCTCCTAATACTGTAACTGTGTTTTATGCTGAGGGTAGAACAGGTTAAAATTATCTTCATGATACTTGGTCAAATGAACTATGACGAGTTTCATAAAACTGCTGGTCTAGTTGGTGTGGGGCACTGAGGACTGCCCTTGAGCTCAGCAAAGGCAGGTGTTCACCGATGTATCTGTGTGGTAAAGAAAGGACTTGGTTATAAGTTAAAAAGGGTCTTGATTGGCTGTTTATTCTTTATTTATTCATTCAAACAAATATGCTTATGTTATTCCATAGGAAAAAGCCTAGGCCTTAACTTCATGGGCCATAAAGATGTTTTAAATTATTTTTATTAGTCATATTAACAATAAGAACTTCTGTTTACTGAATGCTTTCCTTGTGCTGATACTAGGCTAAGGTTTTATATTATTTCTGATCCTGAGAGTGACACTGGGAGGAGGTTGGTCACCCCTGTTTTGTAGGTGAGGAGGCTCAGTTTCAGGAGGTTAAGTAACTTACTCAAGGTCAGGCAGCGGCTGAGTTGATGTTTGAATCCTGGTCAGCCTAATACTGCCTCTCTGTGTAAGATGACACTTCTCTTCAGAATCTTCCTTTTTGTCATCTTTGTCACTTGGGATCTACACAGTGTCACCTTTTCCAGATGGGGATGGAAATTGTAGTTTTCCTTCAAGTTAATCCTTGTAAGCCACATGTACAAAAATCTTTATTTGCCCTCTTCTTATAGGTTATTATCAGTTTTTACTGTTACTGCTTTTTTGGGTGGCTGTCTGTAGGATCATCTGCTAACACTTCCCAAGTTTCTTTGTGGCAGTACTATTTCAAAAGTAATTTCAGACAATAATGCTATTGCAGTACCATGAAAAATGTGTCCTGGCTTGATGTTCTTTGTGGTAAGGAATAGCCGTGACTGACAGCCCAGCACATTTGCCAACTGCGGCTCTCGTGTTGGACATCTCTGCCCTCAGCACAGATCCCACTTTACCTCATGACAATGCTCCCATATTGTTTGCTTACTGAGAAAAATTACTACTTCTTTTTCTTTTTCTTTTTTTTTATATTTTAGAGAATCACAGGTTGGAATCTGCCTATCAGAATCACCTAATTCTGAAAGTTTTAGTGGTAAGTACAGTGTTTATGTACAAGTTCATTTTGATTATGAAAGTAATGCATACTACTGAACATTTAGGAATATATATATGAAGAGTTGCTTCTAATTTAAGATGTCAGTTAATATATTTTGTGCAGATAGGCAAAGACTGATTAATAAATATGTTTACGTCTATGTTGAGTAGTCTTATTACAAATGTGCGTGTGGTGTAAGACTTCAAAATATAGAAATTAGTATTATAGCCTATTTCCAATTACTTAAAAAACTAATCACTTCATAAACATGTTTCTGTTTTTTTCCTTTTGGTGATTTCTTTGAATGTTTTGCTATTCGATGATTCTTCCAGGTACCTGCAATCTGTTTAGTGATGGAACATTCGATTTTTAAAAAAAATTTTGTTAAAGAAATTTCCAAAGTCCAATAGGTTCCCAGCATGTCTTGATGGGTAGGAGGAAAAAGATGAGAGAAAGCATTGTGTAACCTGCTTGCCGTTCATGTAAAAGTTCACACATTATGCTTCTTTCCACCATTGTTGTAAAGAATAAAGAAATACTAGCTTGAAAGCACCTCATTTATCAGGAGGTTACCTCAGCCATCTGTAACATAACTGAGAATCAAGAAAGATGATGTGTAAAGAGCCCTCTGAACTTTCAACTGGAATTGATTTAACACAGTTCATGTACTTAACTCCCAAGAGAGGGATCCAGGCCCTCACTTAGAGTCTTTGTTCCATCTGTAGCAATCATTCTAAGAAGTTTATCTGTCTGGTTTTTCAGTTTGTAAAAGATCAGAAACCACCATCATGAGGGTGTTTAGAATTCTGGAAGTAGGTAAACTTATAGAAGAAGGACAGGTAAGGAAAGAGAAAGCCTGTCATAGATAAGAATTCAACAATTTGGGCATTAGGAAAGGACAAGTGGCCATATACATCTAAAAAGTCTCTGAAGGCCTCATTCACACTGTGAAATGATTGCTATTTAAAATGTGTTGCTGAATCAGTAAGGAAGTTATGTTCCATGTTGTTAGTGTAAGAAAGCAGGGGAAGATGGTAATGGTTTACAAAGTTCATTTAAAAAGATTATAATATGGAGCTTTTGCCCTCTGAGGTAAAAACACTCCATTTGTCTTAAAGAATTCAGTTATTTGCAAGACTCTATTATTCTTTGACAGTGCCAGATACAATGTCAAAGTGAAAGTACCCATAAGTTAGAGTCTGTTCTTCCTCTGTGGTGCTTAGATCTCTCCCTTCCTTTTTAATTTTATGGGGACAGCATTTCTCAGCCTTCCCAGGGTTTTGCTTTTCAACTTCTACCCTAACTTGGCACCCCCTGTCCTGGGGCCATATTGATCTTACCACTCACTCTCTAGCCTGACTCCCCATCTCCTCACTAATTAAGTGCTCCCTTTTGTACAACAGCAGCCTTCCTCTCAGAAAGTGTTACTACCAAGCAGGAAGTAGCCAGCAGGGGACTGGGAGGCAGAAAGGAAACCTGTTAGTGTGGGTTTGGGGGGAGGATATAGCTGTGGGTTCTTGAGCAGCGGAACTACTGAAGAAATGGCACTTTTTGTGGTGGGATCCCCACCACAAAAAGGTACCACTGTGTATTTGGCAGGGCAGAGGAGTCCGTGCCTGTGGTGACAAAGATGCCTCCCAGGCTAGGCTGGTTGTTATGGCCACCCTTCTACCTCACTGTCTCTCTATGGAGAGGGGAGTCACGTCCATGGGCACAAAGAGGCTTCTTGTCTTGGCAGGGTCTTTTGTGGCAGGGTCCCCCTTGCCAGTGCTACCCAGCTGCCTCACTTACTCCTGGTGGGGGAGGAGAAGTCCGTGGACACAAAGAGGATTCCAGGGCTGGGCTGCTTGTTGTGGTGGGGTCTTTCTCACTAGTGCTGCCTGGCCATCCTGGTATCTGTCCATGGGGCAGAGGAACCCCAGGCCTGGCAGGGAAGGAGAGCACTTCCCTGGGAATCTTATTGTTAGTGGGGAGTCCTGATTGATTCCCCCTTACTGGTTCTGGTGGGTTCCCCTGGTATTGACAGGACTGTTACTTGAATGGTGGAAGAATGAGCCAACCTGGGCTACCAGGTTGGGGTTAGGAAGTGCTGGGCCTTGGTCTCCTCCTTCTCATGGTTGGGGGGAGCTTAAGATGTGCTGGTACTGTGTTGTTCCTTCAGTCCTGGGGACCCAAACCAGTTCATCTTCCTTTTAGCACCTTTTAGCATCCTCCTTTCGTTGCCTCTTACATTGTTTCCAGTGTTTGTTTATTTAGTAAGGAGATAGAGGGAGAAACAAGTCCATGCCATCTTGTCCAGACTGGAAGTCCCTCTTTACATTTTTAAATGTTGTATTTATGGTAGTAATAAAATACCATAAAGCAGTATTTAACATTGTTATCTTTTTTTGGGGCAGTTCAACTTTCTAAATTGCTTCGCCTCACTTTTCTACATTGCCTTTGTCCTGAAGGATATGAAGCTTTTGCGCCAGGTGAGTGTGAATAACAGAAAAGTATCAAAGTTTTAGGTCTTAGAGGTGGTTTCCTATATTCAGCTAATGCTATTGTCTTTAAATTATTATTTTTACAAATATTTTAAATTTTTATATTTCTAAGCTCAACTCTAAATAAAAAACCATTAATAATTACACTGTATATTGTACTCAGCTAAAAAGAATTAGTTGAACCTAACCAACTTACAGAATTAATCATATAGGGTAGTAAAATCAATTATATAGTTTGCTTCAAAACTTGTCAAAGCAATTGTAACAGCAAACATGTAGTATTTATTAATTAAACTTTTTTGTGTGTCTCAGGGTAGGGTGTGATTGGTTTAAAATTTAATTTTTAAGTTAATAAGTTGTTAAACTTTAGAGACCAGTGGATCCTATGCAGTACTGTATCTTTTCTGAAATGTGTAAGAAAGTCTGATATTTATTTTGGTACCTTGCCAGTTCTGGATCACATAATACCAAATAGTAATAAATCAAACACAAATTATTGGTTTCTAAATTCTCTTTTTTATACTTGAAGCAGTTAGCAGTAAAGGGCAGTTCCTTCCTGGTTTTAATGTTCTGAGATTGTTAGTGAGCAGTATTTCAAAGCTTGGACTTCTTAATAGTTATGTGAGAACTTGGGATAATTTTTCAGGAAGTTTAAAAATTTGTCTGATCAAAGAAGATTAAAAGATTTTGAAGTTGTTGTTCTAACAGCTTGCATAAAAGTAAAATTAAATGTGTGCTCTTAACAACTCTTCTAGATACATTGCTATTTCTTAAAAATTATTTTTGAAAGTTGAGAAAGTTCAAAAATAATACATTTGGAATTTATATAAGCTAGATTACATATCTTCTGTGGTCCCATGCGTTAGCGTATTAGGGCATGACTTTTCATTTCTTACACTTTAGAGAGTCTCCTTTATTTAGCAGAGAACAGGATAATGGAGAAGGACTCTTAAAAAAATAGAATTGTAATACTAGCAAAGGTGGTGTGTGATGGAAACACTCATATCCATCTGAGGAAAGTGAAAATTGACACAACATTTCTGGAAACCAGCTCACTTGGTAGCTTTGCCAAGAACCTTAAGTCTAGTAAGTCTTCAGAGATTCGGCAAAGATTCATATACATAGATATCCGAGCAGCAGAATTTATAAGAGTGAAAGTTGGGAGTAATTCTAAATTCATCAGCAGTGTATTGGCCAAGTAAAAATGAATTTTTAATGACATGGGAAAATGCTCGCAATATATTAAGAGAAAAAAGCAATATGCAAAGTTGTGTACATATAGGATAATTATAGTTTTATTTTTACAAATGATTGGAAAGACATATCCCAGATGTAGCAGTAGTTCTGTCATGGTTGAATTATGAGTGGCTTTTTTTTTCCTATTTTTTAAAAACATTTTTATTGATACATAATATTATACATTTTTATGGGAACATGTGATATTTGTCACATGCATAGAATGTGTAATGATCAAGTAAGCGTATTTCGGATGTCCATCACTGTAAGTATTTATCGTTTCTATCTACTGGGAACATTTCTAGTACTCTAGTCTAGCTGTTTTGAAATACACAATACATCATTGTTAATTATAATCACCCTACTCTGCCATCAAACATTAGGATTTATTCCTTTTATCAAAATGTATGCTTGTACCCACAGACCAACCTCTCTTTAACCTCTGCCCCCACTATACCCATCTAAGCCTTTGGTAACTATCATTCTACTCTCTACCTTCATGAGATCAGCTGTTTTAGCTCCCACATACGAGAGAGAATATGTGATATTTGCCTTTCTGTGCCTGCCTTATTTCAGTTAACATAATGACCTCCAGTTTCATCCAGGTTGTTGCAAATGACAGGATTTCATTCTTTTTATGGCCAACTAGGATTCTATTGTGTATATATACCATGTTTTCTTTATCCATCCGTCCATTGATGGACACTTAGATTGATTCCATACCTTTGCTATTGTGAACAGTGCTGCAATAAATATGAGGGTACAGGTATCCCTTTGATACACTGATTTCCTTTCCTTTGGATAAATACCCAGTAGTGAGATTGCTAGATCAAAGGTAGTTCTATTTTTCATTTTTTGAGAAATCTCCATAGTGTTTTCCATAATGGCTGTACTAATTTACATTCCCACCAACACTATATGGGAGTTCCCTTATCTTTAAATCCTTACCAGCATCTGTTATTTTTTTGTCTTTTTGATAATAGCCATTCTATTAATAGCTGGGGTGAGATGATATCTCATTGTGGTTTTGATTTGCATTTCCCTGATGATTAGTGTTATTGAACATCTTTTCATATACTTGTTGGCTGTTTGTGTGTCATCTTTTGAGAAATGTCTGTTTGTGTCCTTTGCTCACTTTTTAGTGAGATTATTTGTTTTGTTTTATTTTTTGCTATTGAGTTGTTTGAGTTCCTTGTATATTCTGGATTTTAGTCCCTTGTTGGATGAATAGTTTGCAAATATTTTCTCCCATTCAACAGGCTGTCTCTTCACTCTGTTGATTGTTTCCTTTGTTGTGCAGAAGCTTTTTAGTTTAATATAGTCCCATTTGTCTCTTTTTGTTACCTGTGCTTTTGAGGTCTTAGCTATGAGTTCTTTGCCTAGACCAATGTCCCAAAGTGTTTTTGCTATGTTTTCTTTTAGTAGTTTTATAGTTTCAGGTCTTATATTGAGATCTTTAATCCATTTCAAGTTGATTTTTATATATGTTGAGAGATAGGGGACATTGTTCTGCATATGGATATCCAGTTTTCCCAGCACCATTTACTAAAGTGTTTTTTCTTTCCCAAGTGTATATTCTTGCCTCCTTTGTCAAAAATCAGTTGGCAGTAAATATGTGGATTTTTTTTTTCTATTTTCTATAGTGAGGATGTATTAGTTTTATAATTGAATTTTAAAAACATTTTAGCAAACTACTTTTTTTCAAAGTTGGCAATATCATTTAGATTCATATGTTGCAGTCAGGATGAGATGACAAAGAACAAAATTTTAAGTTAATTAATTTTCCTACTGATTCTTGACTGGTTTATTTCATATTACAATCTTATTTGTATTATAACTTTATTTGTATTTTAATCTAAGTCTTGTGAAAACGCATAAATTAAAAACATCGTTCTAACATCTGGCCTTTCTCATACTAGTTTTATAAAACAATAGTGTACCATTTATTGAAGATTCCATTTTATTTATTACATAATTGTATATATGCTATGGTTTTATTAATCTACATTGCCAAATATAATTTATGTGTTCCACTTTAGAGCCTGGCCACTCTCCTGATTACCTCCCAGATCCTTAACCAAATTGTGGAATCTCTTCTTCCTTATTGGCTCCAAAAGAAGCATGGTGTGCAGGTGAAGAGGAAGGTGCAGGCTTTAAAGGCAGACATTGATGCTACGTTATATGAACAAGTCATCCTGGAAAAAGAAATGGGAACTTACATGGTAAGTTGGAATATTGCTAAATTAAACATTTATTGAAAGTGAATAACAGTCATGCACTGAATTCAACAAATGTTATACACACTCATTGTGTCAGATGTGACTATGTTATAAGTGCTTTCTGCCCAGTTTTCTCAGCATGAACCACTTTAAAGTTAAAAAGATGGAACTACCCATTTAAATGCTGCTGTCTTGAATCTGAAGTTATGCCTAACAATAATACCAAAGGGCAAGTCTGAAGAATTCTGTGACTGCTTTGTGGAGAAGGGATAGGAATAGTTGCTTTGGAGATGACAGAGCAAGGCAGCATTGGTCCCTGGAGAGGCAGCAACTTTGCTCACTCCTGATGCTTCAAACTGTAGAAAATGGTTGCTCAAGCAATAGATTGAGGCTCATTGCTGAAAAATGGAATGCCAATCTGAAAATTAACTTTTAGTTTAAATTAGTGCTATTGTATAAATATAAAACGGTTCCTTTAAGACCGAATTTCTGGTTTTTTTAAGGAGCTACAAGCAGATCATTAGAGGTTTGGTACTTACAATATTTGAAGGCTCTAGCTCATAAAACCTAACCATGTGTTCAACAGACTTTTATTGAGCTTTGACTATATTCACTATCTCCATAGTTTGGGAGGTGTGTTGCAATCATGTTTGCTTCAGGCCATTGTTTAGTATATCCTGCACCTTCCTTCTTGGTACAGTGTTCTTCCTGGTGAGACAGGTCCTTCAGTGATTCGTTCATTGAGACCCCATTGTTGTTAAACTTTCATAGTCTCATTTTTCATCTTGAATGAATTTGTTTCCTGATTATTGAGTTTCTTGGCTGAATTTCGGTCTTTCTCATATGCTTAAGAATTTTAGCTTGTATGTTCAACTTGAGTAGGAGTTTGTCCTCCTTTTCTCTTTGCTAACTTCTGCCTTATTTTTTGCAGTTGCCCCCACTAAGCTTCCAAGTCCCTAGTCCAGAACCAGGTGTTTGCATCACAGAGCTGCCATCTTGGGGTGACAGTGAGGATTTTGTAGATCTGGTCACAGAGCCAGGAGGTAGTGTGCTCTTGAGACAAGTTGTAGTTCCTGGGCAACAAGTTCTGTCTTTTTTCAGCCCCTCTGAAAGGTGAGAGGACCATTATCCCAGCCTTGGTTTCACTCAGTCGGGTTGGTTCCAGTTGCACTCCAGGGAAGGGGGTGCTCTTGGTTCTCCTGTCTCACAGGATACAGAACCCAGCCACTTCGGGTGGTTCTGAATTACCATCTTGCGTTTTGTCCATTTCTCACCTATGCAGCTGTTTTTGTTTTCGGGTGGCAGTATGTCTTTGATTAAAATATATACTAGCATTTTCTGTCCTTTATTTAAGGGAGAAGATGATTCACAGTATAAGCACACAGCACATCTTACACAGCAACACTCTTTATGTTTATATGTGAGGTGTAGAGAAAACACAGAGGCATGCACAGAGGGGAGGTGAAGAAAAGGAGCATGGGTGTGGTGTGCAGCCATCATTCTTAGATCGAGTGAGTACTAGCATACCATGGGTTAAAAGCTCGGTCTAGTTTGCATTATGGCAGGATCCTTTCCTTGCCTGTGCTGGGGGTTGGTATTTTTGGACACATTTAGTTTACTTCCTTTATTCTCTTTGAGAAACTACGCAGTCATGTCACCCACATTCTCATTCCATCCCCCTCACTTTTGGAGGCTTCATGTTCCCCGCCATGACCTGGTACTCCTGTATCTCCTGCTGCCCCTTCTACCTGCCCCAGCCATCAGGAACTTGCCTGCTGTAAACTAAGCAAACCCTCCACACCCTCTGCTGTTGATGTCCTTTCTCTTTGCTGCCTCTCATGGTTTTGTGCAGTAATTCTCTGTATTGACACTCGTTTCTTACTTCTCTTCCTATAGTCAATTAGAATTTACTTTCAGCTCTTTTTCTCTGAAATTATTTGGGCGAACGATATCATCCCCTGAAGTGTCCCAAACCAAGTTCAGCCTTCTCCATACAGGTTTCTCTTGCTTTCACCCTGGCTCAGTGAATGGTATACAGTAATCCAAACACCATACCCCTTGTCTGAGCAATTCTCATTTGTCTAAAAACTGTATGCCAATGAGGTGATACTGCCAGAATCATAGATCTGATCTCTTCTGGCATCTCACAACATCTGACAATACCTTTTTAGGGAAAGTGAGGGAGGCAATGGTTCTTCCCATGTCAAAAAGAGGCAACTGAAGCTCTATGTTATTAATCATTTGGCTACTAAATCAGGAATAAGATTTGAGACTTTGCCTTCCTGTTTCAGACTCTGTGTTATACAGTACAAGCTCTCAGATGTGAAATAAAGGACACCGTGTACTAATTTCTCTTGCAGGTCCTGGGTCTGTGAGTGAACTCTAGGGTTGGCAGTGTTGTTCCTTAATGTGTCTAAAGGGTCCTGCATAATCTGGCTATTTCCCCTCCTCATCTCCTACAAGTTCCTTTTACTGTCTCTACCGGAGAGACATTGGATATTTGCTATTTCAGTTCTCTCCATATATTTGGAGAGCGGAGATGCTTTCAGGTCACATTTGTTCTAGGTGATTGTTTCCTATGCACTAATTCTTCCTTTTTTCTGGGTGTATTTTCCTCCTGCCTGAATTCAATGAATTTAGAATTGTATTTTCTGTAATCTTATCCTTACTGCTGTAATGAGTCTAAAATAATATGGCCAAGCTCTGGGAAAAAGCAATTTGGCTGAAACTTAAAATATTATTATAAAAGTAATACTTGCTCACTCACTATAGAAAATTTGGAAAATGCAGGACAGAGTAAATAAAGAAAAAGAAATCCTCTGTAATATGCCCACCAAGGGTAATCACTGACATCTCCTGTCCCTGGCTCCACCAGCCCAGGGCTAAGCTATGTCTCTTCTTAGATCTTCACTATCCACTGCTGGCCTTTTCCTGGGAACTGCCAGTTCACATCCAACTTCATAGCTGCTAAGGCTGAATTTTCATAATGAATGTTCCAACTAGAACAATGTATCGCTACACAGTAAATGAACAGCCTCCTATCAAGCTAGCTATTACAGTGGTTTGCCAAAAATGTAAATGAGTGTCACTTTGCACCAAACATTTTTTGTTTTGGAAACTGTAATGATTTTTAAAAGGATATTTCATTTATGTTAATATGTTATTATTTAAATGAATTAATGAAGAAATTTTAAAATTTCTCAGTTTTAATTACTAATATGGTAAATATCACTAGCTATAACTCACATAAACAATAGGTCTTTAACATCTTCAATAATTTTTAAGAGTTTAGGGCTTTTAAGACCATAAAGTTTGAAAACTGCAGATCTAGAGTAATCCCCTTGCCGTTTTTCAAGGCATTGGCTTTTGTGAATCCATTGTCTGATTGTTTCTTCCTAAAATCTGAGTTAAACTTTGGACGTATACCTCTTGCAGCTCACCAGCAGCTATTGACATCAGGTCGTCTCACTTGGTTACACTGCAAAGGTTCTTTTTCATTTTGTAATGAATAAGTGATCTCTGGGTAGATACTTTGAGGCTTTCCTCTTCCCTATACATGGTATCTCTTCAAAAATGTAGTTTCTAATTTTTTGTTGCTGGCATATGGTAATGCTGTTGTTTTTTGTATCTTTTACTCAACAACTTTGCTGAAGTCGCCTATTATTTCCGATATTTTTTCTATAGATTTTGTTGGATTGTCTATGTAGACAGTTATTTTAGCTATAAATAATGGACATTTTCTTTCTTGCTTCAGTTTTCATCTATTAGGCTCACTGGTGTGTTCAGTTTGGATAGAAGTAGTTACTATAGGAATCTTTATCTTGTTTCTGATTTTTCATATTCTCACCATGATTGGGTACTGTGTTTGATGTTTTTAGTAAGTAGCTTTTTATCAGTTTAAAAATGTTATTTTCTCTTCCTTATTTACTAAGAGTTTTTATCATGAATGATACTTCATCAAATTTTTTTTGCTTTTATTGTGATTATCATATTATCTCCTTAATTATTTAATGTTTTTATTTACATTAATAAATTTCCTGAGGGAATGCCGTGTTCACATTTAAATGATTTACTAATTGTTCAGTGTTTTTTATATACATTGCTGTGTAGAGTATGCTAATATTTTATTTAGAGTGTTTGTGCCAGTGGCAAATAATTTTCCTTTCTCAGTCACTGAGGGTAGGGTCCTTACGTTATTTATTGTGGAAACTCTGTTTCTAACACAAAGCCTAGCATTCAGCACTCACTCAATGTAATATTGAATAAGGAACAGTTTAAGGAAGAGAATAGCCCAGTCCCTGCTGTCTGTATACTGATTGTTACCTTCACTCTATACTTTCTTTCCTTGCCATTCAAATCTGCACTAAATAAATATGGTTAGGATAGGGAACTCTGAGATATGATGTGAAGAACAAGTGGGATGGATCACCTGGAACCTGAAACTTTGCCTTCATACATTTAATAAATTAGATATGTAAAATTAATTATGATTTTCACAGACATACCATAGTATTTTTTTGTTTTGTTTGTTTGCTTTTTTTTTTTTTTGGAGACAGAGTCTCATTCTGTCACCCTGGGT